TTTTAACTATTCTTTTCTTGGGAAACAACTCTAATGTTACCTCTGAAGATGCCAGGGGCAGAAACAGTCTGCTACCAAATGAAAATGCAGGTAACTCCAGCAACTGTAGTTTTACTTGTCCGAAAGGTGCAGCTATTTTCGGCACACGCGTTTCTCCTGTCCTACCCGAAAAGGACTCCAGCCAGGCTCCCAGCGCCAGCAGTCCGGCGTTCGCGGTGAGACGCGGGTCAGCCTTCGGGGAGGGCGGCTCACCGCCGGCTCCGCAGAGTCCACGCTCAGCCCTGGCCCGTGGTTCCTCCTGCTGACCCCGTGCCGGTTTCCCTCAACACGAAGGCAGGATCGGACCGTCGGCCGCTCAGAACCGAATCACTTCCGTGGGCATTTGCGCGCTGACGACCGCTCACGGCAGCACCGCTACGGGCACGCGCAAAGTGGGCGCCAGCTGCTAGAGACCCGCTCGTCTGCCGGTGGCAGAGGTGCCAGTTCACCTGGAAGCCAATTTGCCTTTAAGGGGGAGATGTCCAGATTTTTCATGAGCAACCACCGTAATCTGAAAGCGACAACCATGCACACACCAGTAAGCCTACCTTTTGTAAAACACCGGCACTCAGAGACGACTGAATCATAAATGCTACCAAACAATCAAATAATCATCAACGCTAGAAGTAGAGGAAGAAATAATAAAACCGTAAAGGTGAGATAACTGCATCGTGACTGTGACCTAAATGCTTGTTTACAACAGCAAGTGAGCACAAGGCTGGGTACCTGGACTGAGCCTCAGAAGCGAACACACCACTCTTTCTTATTTCCTAGAAAAGAGGCTGATTGAGAAAACATTTTAATGTGGGAAACTAAGTCATTAAAACAGAAGAACTCCCATCGCTTTCTTCCTTTAGGGAATTCACTTCACGTTACTTTATCTGACACAAGTCAGAAACGAGAATATCGTAAGGAGAAGGAAAGCTGAATTTTGACATATTTCCCATTAAAATTCTTCCGCTGACTTTGTTCAGCTTTTTCTAAGACCAGAAAACGAGGCTTTTACCTAAAACAAATTCGAGACTGGTAGGTTTTCCTCACACACTTGTGGCACTACAGTGTCCTACTTTCTCAGAGCACAGGATTGTTTCCAACTGTTCCCAAGTCTTTGCGCATCCGTTCACAAACTCGTATCTCCGTTCTGTTTATACTCAGCTAAAATATTGAGAGTCATTTCCTCGCTTTTGGACTGCACGTTGTGTTCACTTCTTCTGGACGATTTCCTGGTTGCCCTGGAAAGCCGCCTTCGAAAGGTATCCCCTGCCAGAAAGTAAAGGATAGGGTCGACGCAGCTGTTGAGGCTGGCCAGACCCCTCGTCACTTGGTAAGTGGCATAAACCTTATCGTTGAAGGCACACATTTGGGGAGTCTGAAAATCCACCCTGGCTCTGAGATTTAAGGTCTTCATCACGTGGAAGGGAAGGTAAGACACAGCAAAGACTGTCAACACGATAATAACCAGGTAAATCGACTTTCTCCTGAGAGGAGAATTGTCCAAATCTTTGTAAATCAAAGCTTTCACAATGAGCCCATAGCAACCAAGAATCAGGATGAACGGGATGCAGAACATCAGCACGGTGGTGCACATGCTGTAAATGAAGTAACTTCTCAGGTAATCGTCGGCTGTCGTGTCGTAGCATGTCGTGGTTTTGTTTTTCCTTATCCCCGTTCCCGAGTAGAAGAGTATCGGAGAAATCACGGCCACCACAACGACCCAGACCAGGGTGCTGATGTACACGGCGTTCTTCTTCTTCAGCCTCCCCAGCGACTTCAAGGGGTGCACCACTCCCGTGTACCTGTGCACGCTGATGCACGTCAGAAACAAAATACTGCCGTACAGGTTCACGTGGAAGATGAACCTCTGCAGCTTGCACATGATATCTCCGAAGATCCAGTCTGTTTTATTGAAGTAGTAAAAGATGAGGGCAGGCAGAGTCAAGACGTACAAGAAATCGGCCAGCGCCAAGTTGAACATGTAAACGGAGATGCCGCTCCAAGGCCTCATGTGGAAGACAAACATCCAGATGGCCACGCTGTTCCCCAAAAACCCGGTGATGAAGACCAGAATGTAGACAGTGGGCAGGTAATAGAACTGGAAGCCGGTTTTGGTGAGGGAACACTTGGTGGTGGCGTTCCCCGCAGACCAGCCGCTGCCGGGTAGCAGGTTGGGTTCAGTTCCATTCAGAGCAGCCGAGAAGAGGACTTCGGTCATGATCCCTCCTGCGTCACATCGGTCTGCGGCGAAGCACCAGGGTCTCTACGGGCACAGCAACGCGGCTGGGGAAAGAGAAGAGCAAAGCAAACCTCACTGGAAGGGAAAGCATACCCTGCTTTTCTTCGGGGGGTTTCTCGGGGGGGTGCTCGCCCACCGCGCAGGTCGGTCTAGCGCGGGGCGCGGCC